TTTCCTTTCCTTTCCTTTCCTTTCCTTTCCTTTCCTTTCCTAGCTTTGGTATCAGGGTGATGTTGACTTCCTAAAATGTGTTTGGGGGGATTCCTTCTTTCTCAATGTTGTGGAATAATTTCTGCAGGACAGGCACCAGTTCTTCTTTTTAGAACTGGTAAAATTCAGGTGTGAAACCATCTAGTCTGTGACTTTTCTTTTTAGGAAGGTTTTAATTGCTGCTTCAATTTCAGTACTTGATATTGGTCTGTTCAGGAATTTTGTTTCTTCCTGATGGAGCCTAGGGAGGCTGTATGTTTATAAGATTTTGTGCATTTCCTCCACATTTTCAAGTTTATGTGTGTAGAGATTTTTGTATTATTCATAGATGGTATTTTGTATTTCTGTGGTTTTAATTGTAATTTCTCCTTTTTCACTCCTGTTTGAGATTATTAGCATCCTTTCTTTTCTGCTCTGGTGAATCTAGTGAGTGGCATGTCCAGTTTGTTTATCTTTGCAAAGAACCAACTTTATTTTTTGTTAATCTTCCATTAGTTTTTTTGTTATTGATTTCATTTAGTTCTGCTAAGATCTTCGTTGTTTCTTCAGTTGGGTTTGGGATTGGTTTGCTCATCCTTTTAAAGTTTTTTAGTCAATTCATTAGATTGTTGATTTGTGATCTTTCTGTCTTTTGGACATGGGAATTTATGGCTATGAATTCTCCTCTCAGGACTGCTTTAGCAGATTTGGGTAACTTGTGTCCCCTTTATCATTTATTTCAAAGACTCTTTTGATTCCCATCTTAATTTTCTCCTTGACCTCTCATTCATCAATAGTTTGTTTAGTTTCCATGACTGTGTATAGAGATGCATTGTATAGAATCTGGCCTGCAGGTCCATCCCCCAAGCCTGAGTGATTAATCCCTGACCATGCCAGGGACAAGGATCCTGGTTCTAAGTCACCTATCGAGCACCCAAGCTGGTTCAATGTCTGTTTGCTTCAGGGTTTGTCCACCTCTGCTAGAGTTGCCAGGCAAGCAGCACCAGGGAGGACCACCAGGTAGGGAGCTCACAGTCCAAGCATGCATCAGTCTGCTGCAGAACCCCAAAAGGAAAAGTCTGAGCCCTGAGCCCTGTGGAAGCCTCTGTGTGGTGGCTCAATTGTCTCTTGGCAGCTGTGCGTGGGGGAGGGGAAGGGGAGAAAGAGAGTCTGAGTAGAGGAAGGTTGCACTTTGGTCCTCTCCATCCCTCTCTCTGGCACGCATTCCCCCAGAATGATGCAGCTCTGGAGTTATGCAGGTTTCTCGGGACCCACTGGACCACTGTAGCTCCTGCAGTCTGGGCTGGAGTTGGGAAATATCCATGTAAGGATGAGCAAGACAGATCTGGAGGGAATGAGGTGTCCTGGGGAGGACAAAGGTGCCCAGTGGCTAGAGAAGCAATATGATGCCTGCCATCCAGCTCGGGTCTGTGGGGCAGGAGCCATCCCATGGGCATTGGGAGCCTGGTGCCCTGTGTGCAAGAAGCTCTTTGCTCACTAACAGCAGTAGTCTGGGCTGTAGTTGGCAGAAGGTCTCTCGAGCAGCTCAGGAGCCTACCAACAATCCAAGGTGCGAGGAAGGGGAAATTTAACTGTTCCACCTACCTGTCTCACTGGTCTCCAGGCCTGTTGGGGCTTAATCCCCACCAATGCCTTTCTCCTTCCAGATCTCCTCAACAACCTCTTCCTGTGGAATCTCTTGTAGATTAGGCACCCTTTCTTCAGACCCTCTTCTGATCTATGCTTGTCTGTCTGTTTTTTCACTTTAATCTAAAACTTTTTCTTATAGGGAAGCTCTGGCTGATGGTGTCTATGGTCTGCCATCTTGCTCTTAGCTTTCAATTCTATTTTTAACATTAATGGTGCTAACTCAGATTTCTTTTGATTTTGTTAGCATTTGCCTAGAATTGGCTTTGTCATTGTTTTTTTTTTACCTTTTATGTGTCACTAAATGTTCAGTATTTCTTATAAACATCATGAGCTAACTTCTGTTTTGCTTCAAAGATATATAACATGGCAGTGTCTTTCTTTAAACAGATGAATTTAAACTACTCACATTTATTGTGTTTAGTATTTCTACTATGTTATTTTGTGTCTGCCCCTATTTTACTGCCTTCTGTGGCATTGCTTTCCTTTTTTATTGTTTTTCAGGATTTTAGTACCATCTTGTTTTTAAAATCTCCTGCAATGCTAACTTCTTAAAACATACAAACAGTGTATGTCTATTTAAATTTACCCAACAGCCCATCAGTTTCTTTGCTTGATATCATATCTTATGGGGCATACCCCAGAGATATTGGGGTTTGATTCCAGACCACAGCAATAAAGTAAATATTGAAATTCAGTAAGTCACACAAGTTTTTTGGTTTCCCAGTGCATATAAAAATTGTATTTACACAATACTGTAGTCTAATTTCTAATTGTATGATAGCATTATGTCTCAAAAAATGTGTATACCTTAATTAAAAATACTTTATTGCTGAAAAATGCTAATAATCATTTTAGTCTTTAGCAAGTTGTAATCTTTTTGCTGGCATAGTGTCTTGCCCCAATGTTGATGGCTACTGACTGATCAGGATGGTGATTTCCAAAGGTTATGGTGGCTGTGGTAATTTCTTAACATAAAATGATGAAGCTTGCTACATCGATTGACTCTTCCATTCACAAAAGATTTCTTTGTAGCATGTGATGCTGTTTGATAGCAATTAAAATTATTTTTTTTCTGGAGATAAAGTCTTGCTATGTTGCCCAGGTTGGTCTTGAACTCTTGCCCTCAAGCAACCCACCCTCCTCAGCCTGCCAAATTGCTGGGACTACAGACATCCACCACCATACCAGCTCTTGGTAGCATTTAATTCACACTAGATCTTCTGTCAAAATTGGAATCAATCCTCTCAAACCCTGCTGTTCCTTTATCAACTAAGTTTATGTAATCTTCTAAAGCCTTTGTTGCCATTTCAGTAATGTTCACAGAATCTTCACCAGGAGTAGTTCCATCTCAAGCAACTACTTTCTTTGCTCATCCACAAGAAACAACTCTTCATTCATTCATTCATTCATTCATTCAAGTTTTACCAAGTGATTGCAGCAATTCAGTCGAATCTTCAGGTTCCCCCTCTAATTGTAGTTCTTTTACCATTTCTGCCACATCTGCAATACTTCCTTCATTAAAGTATAGAACCTCTGCAAGTCATCCATGAGGTTTGGAATCAACTTATTTCAAACTTCTGTTCATGTCGATATTTTGACCTCCTCTATAAATGAATATTCGTAACGGCATCTAGAATGATTAATGCATTTCAGAGTGTTTTATATTCACTTTCCCCAGATTCATCAGAGAAATCGCTCTGTATGGCAACTATACTCTTACAGAATTTATTCTTTATATAATAAAACTTGAAGTCAAAATTACTCCTTGATCCATGGAGTACAGAATGGATGCTGTGTGAGCAGGCACGAAAACATTAGGATTCTTGTATGTCTCCATCAGATGTCTTGGGTGCATTGTCAATGAGAAATAATATTTAGAAAGAAATCTAAATATTTAGAAAGAAAGTAACCAAGCTGTAGACAAATGTGCTATCATCCAAGCTTTGTTATTCCATTTATAAGGCATAGGCAGAGTAGATTTAGCCTAATTCATAGAGCCATAGGATTTTCAGATCAGTAAATAAGCACTGACTTCAGCTTAAGGTCACCAGCTGCATGAGTTGCTAGCAAGAGAGCCTGTCTCTCAAAGCTTTGAAGCCAGGCATTGACTTCTCCTTTCTAGCTATGAAAGTCCCACATGGCATTTTCTTCCATTTGAAGGCTATTTCATCTACAATGAAAATCTGTTGTTTAGTGTAGATACCTTCAGCAATTATTTTAGCTAGATCTTCTGGATGACTTGCTATAGCTTCTACATCAGCACTTGCTACTTCACCTTGCACTTTCATGTTATAAAGACGGCTTCTTTATAATCATGAACCAACCTCTGCTAGCTTCCAAATTTTCTTCTGAGGCTTCTTAACCTCTCTCAGCCTTTAAAGAATTGAAGAAAGTTAGAGCCTTCTTCTGAATTAGGTTTTGGCTTAAGGGAATGTTGTAGCTGGTTTGATCTTCTATCATTTGTGTGCTCACTGGAACATACTTTTTTTTTTTTTAATTTTTATTTCGGCATATTATGGGGGTACAGATTTTAAGGTTTCAATAAATGCCCATTTCCCCCCCCAAAAGTCTGAGTCTCCATCATGACCATCCCCCAGATGGTACACATCTCACTCATTATGTATGTATATGCCCAATACCCTATTACTGTAGTACCTATGTGTCCACTTAGGTGCTACTCAGTTAATACCAGTTTGCTGGAGAATATATCTGGTGCTTGTTTTTCCATTCTTGGGATACTTCACTTAGTAGTATGGGTTCCAGCTCTAACTAGGAAAATATAAGATGTGCTATATCACCATTGTTTCTTAGAGCTGAATAGTACTCCATGGTATACATATACCACATTTTATTAATCCATTCTTGGATTGATGGGCACTTGGGCTGTTTCCACAGCCTTGCGATTATGAATTGTGCTGCTATAAACATTCGAGTGCAGGTGTCTTTTTTGTAGAGTGTCATTGGATCATTTGGGTAGATGCCCAGCAATGGGATTGCTGGATCAAATGGTAGATTCACTTGTATCGCTTTAAGGTATCTCCATATTGCTTTCCACAGAGGTTGAACTAATTTGCAGTCCCACCAGCAGTGTAGGAGTGTTCCTCTCATCAGGAATAAAAAAGGAGATATCACAACTGATCCCAAAGAGATACAAGATACAATTTATGAATACTACAAAAATCTTTATGCACACAAACTGGAAAATGTGGAGGAAATGGACAATTTTCTAGAAACACATAGCCTCCCTAGGTTCAACCAGGAAGAAATAGATTCCCTGAACAGACCAATCTCAACAGCTGAAATAGAAACAGCAATTAAAACTCTCCCTAAAGGCTGAGCGCCGCCATCGCCCGCCGGGGGCCGCAGCCCCAGAGAACACCGGCTGCCCTCGCGGCCGCCAGTCCCGCGTCCTGCCGGCCAACGGACCACCGTCGAGCCGCTTGGAGCCCAGAAACCACAGCATGTTCCACCTGCTGCTGCTGCTTGCGGGGCTCTGTGGCCTACCAGCCTCAAGACCAGGTGTTTATTGCTATGAAGTTCCCTCATAGCACTTTTTTGCTCAATCCATAGGCTTTGGAACAGATATCCTATATTATTCCAATAGATGAGAGACCATATACTGTGAATCTTAAGCAAAGATATTTTGTAGCAGATAATTTTATGGTTTATTTATATAATCAAGGATCTATGAATTCTCATTCTTCAAATATTGAGGTTTAAATCTGTTATCCATCATCATTTGATTTTTGTGAGAGACTCAATGCTACTATCAAGGAAATATCGAAGGATATCTGAATTCTGTTGTCACACTCAGCATGTGTTCTGGACTGAGAGGAATACTGCAATTTGAAAATGTGTCTTACGGAATTGAGCCTCTGGAATACACAATTGAATTTCAGCATCTTCTTTATAAATTAGGGAAAGAAAACAATGAATTTCCAATTTTTACCAACCATAACAAAAACACAGAAAAATACCCAATGGATTATAACATTTTTATAAGTAAACAACAGTTTAAATGTCATCCCACTGCCTCCGTCCTCCATGTTCTCTAATGAGAAATTAGATATTATTATCGAAGATCTCTTGTTTGTGATGAACTGCTCTCTCTTGCTGTTTTCAAGTTGGAATCAGATGTTCCAGATTCATTTCCTCTTTATCTAGAAGTACATATTGTGGTGGACAATGCTTTGTATGATTACTTGGGCTCTGATAGCATGATAGTAACAAAGTTGTCGAAATTGTTGGACTTGTGAATTCAATGTTCACCCAATTTAAAGTTACTGTTGTGCTGTCATCATTGGAGTTGTGGTCAGATGAAAATAAGATTTCTACAGTTGGTGAGGCAGATGAATTATTGCATAGATTTTTAGAATGGAAACTGTCTTATCTCACCCTAAGGCCTCATGATATTGCATATTTATTCATTATCCCAAGGAGTCAACTCTGGAGGCCTTTTCCGTTATTGTGACCCAGCTTCTGGCACTCAGTCTGGGAATATCATATGATGACCCAAAGAAATGTCAATGTTCAGAAACCACCTGTATAATGAATCCTGATGCTATGAAATCCAGTGGTGTGAAGAGATTCAGCAGTTGCAGTTTGAGTGACTTTAAACATTTTACTTCAAATGTGGGTGCTAGATGTCTTCAAAATAAGCCACCAATGCAACGGCAACGGGGATCAGTCTGTGGCAATAATAAAGTGGAGGAAGGTGAAGTCTGTGATTGTGGTACTCCAGAACAATGTGGACCTGATAGCTGTTGCGATCCTCAAAATTGTGTGCTGAAACAAGGAGCACAGTGTCATAAAGGATCATGTTGCAAAAACTGTCAAGTCTTCCAATACATTTGTAAGAAGTTTCTTATATGAGAATACCTCTGTTGAACTATCTATCATGCATTCTATCTTCTTAACTGTCCTTGACTCACACAGTTTTATGTTTTTATTTTCTAGAATCTTATCATGTAGTTACATTTTTACCTCTGTAATATTTTTAGTGTCGACTGGAAGTCATCAGTTAAGAATTAGGACATAGATGCTAATTTAAGATTCTTTATATACATTTTTAGAGTTCTACAATGAGTTAATTAACTATAAAATAATTGAGGAGAAAGAGTAGAGTTGGGCTCCTTTCTCTCCAAAGATGCTTATAGTTGAACTGCATCTTTAATCACCCTCCTGGGTCCTCTGCAGTTATTTATGTTTGACATTTGTCACAGAATTTAAAAGTATTCCACACTTACAAACTATGGCTTGAATAAGTATATTTTTTTGGCAATTGAATAAATTACAATATTTTTGCTCAAAAGACATAATTTTTCTAAGCTAACGTGACCTTTCCTCCTTATATTTAAAACACAAATAAATCTTTGGCTTCTATCATAAAAAAAAAAAAAAAAATCTCCCTAAAAAGAAAAGTCCCGGTCCAGATGGCTTCACACCTGAATTTTACCATACTTACAAAGAAGAACTAGTACCTATCTTGCAGAAACTATTCCACAACATCGAGAAGAACGGAAACCTCCCCGACACCTTTTATGAAGCGAATATTACTCTGATACCAAAACCAGGAAAGGATGCAACAAAAAAAGAAAACTACAGACCAATATCCCTAATGAATATAGATGCAAAAATTTTCAACAAAATCTTAGCTAACCGAATCCAGACACTTATCAAAAAAATAATCCACCATGACCAAGTGGGCTTCATCCCAGGGATGCAGGGATGGTTCAACATACGTAAATCTATAAATGCAATTCACCACATAAACAGAAGCAAAAACAAAGACCACATGATTCTTTCAATAGATGCAGAAAAAGCTTTTGACAAAATTCAACACCCTTTCATGATACGAACACTTAAGAAAATAGGCATAGAAGGGACATACCTAAAAATGGAACACACTTTTGATTGCCTTCAGTAACTTTTCCTTTACATTTACAACTTGGCTGTTTGGTGTAAGAGGCCTAGCTTTGTGCATATCTTGGCTTTTAACATTCCTTCTTCACTAAGCTTAATCATTTGTAGCTCTTGATTAAAAGTGAGAGACACTCGACTCTTCCTTTCACTTGAACATTTAGAGGCCATTTTAGTGTTATTAATTGGCCTATTTCAATATTGTTGTGTCTCAAAGAATAGGGTGCCCAGAGGAGGCCACAGGCATGAAAGAAGGAACTAATCAACCAGTTCACATACTATTCTGTTACTTATTTTTCCTCAGGAATGTTTGCTCCCCCGTAAAGCACCCCTACAGAGTTCTGCAGGAACAGTGGAACATGGAAAAATGGCAGATGTGTCTGTACAGAAGAGTGGAAAGGACTGAGAGGAAAGGACTGAGATGTACAATTGGTAAGTTACTGGGGTGTGAGGTTTAGGTGACTCTTGTGTTAATAAGAAGAGTGGCAAGGCTTCTGGAAGCTTCAGTTAATGATTACAGAAACAGTAGACATAATAATGGTGGTTTAAGATGTGTTTATCAGTTCAATAGTAAACGCCAAGTTTGCTTCTTGGGCTATTTACCTATACCTTCATTGTTCCTTGTCTGTTTTCTGAGTATCAAGTTTGTCTGCAAACTCACAGTTGTTTTTTCTTCTGGCTGCAATGTCTAATCCAGGGCAATGGTGATATTCTCTCAGGTTCTTCCAATATGGTGATATGCCATATTACCCTATTTGAAATATCACTATTTAAATTTTCTGAAATTAAGATGCATCTTCCTATGCAAGTTTATAATTACATTAAGTTTTTGTCTTTTCTTCCTTTTTCTTGAAAAGTTGTTACTAAATTAGTCATATGATCTCAATCAATACTGTCTCAGAGCCAAAGTTCAAGGGCATTTCTTGATCTGAAGTATGCTTCACAACACTCTGCACATTTCATGCCCTCTGCTTAGGATCCAGAGCCCTGCAAGCCCACTTCTGTCATTTCCTGGCCTCCTAACAGCCAGTATATTATACACACCCCATGACTTTGGCCTTTTAGCTTTGACCCATATTCTTGGGATACCACTGTAGAGTCTATATTTTTAATTCTCAAGATTCTGCCTAGTCTGATACACTCTCCTTGCTGATGTGTTAACGCTCACATTCCACTTGCATTTATGGAGCTTTCATTCTAGTGAAAGGAAGTGCAATAAACAAAATAAGTCAGTAAATCATGTAGTATATTAAAAGAGTATATATTATAGGGAAAAGTGAAGCAGGAAAAGGGGGTGGGGTATTGAGAGAGTTTTAAGTAAGCAATGAGAAAAAGTCTCAATGAGAATGAGCTCTCCTGAAATGTTCTGAACACAAGTGGCAGACAGAGTCTTCTTGTTACTACTAACCAGCAGTGCCTGTTGCTCTTTTATCCTCCCTCATGTTTATTCACTTTGCCCTCTCCATTTTTTGCTCATGAAAATAACTTTTTGGTAGCACAGAATATGACCTTAGGGTTTTCCTTTAAAATTATGTTCATACGCAAGTAGATGTCAGATGAAGGATACATTGGTGAGCCCCCTCTGTGCTGCCCGTACCGGTTTCTGGAAAGTGATATCTTCTGCTCTATTAGCTGTGTGGCCTCATACATTGGGCATCTACCTCCAAAGCCTTTTATTAATAACATCTGTATCCCTTCCCTGCACAGCCCATAGGGACCTCTGCCTGTACAGCTAGATATGGCCCCTTGTGGAGCTGGGCTCTGTTTCTAGTCTTTTCTGCCTTCTTTTGAGGAATAAGAGAGCACAGGCTTCCAGCCTAACTTAACCCCTTTGGACAACAGCAGCCTCTGCCTTCACCATTTCCCGTCCCAAGATAGTGGGAGCAGAGTGTATCATCACCAATAAAAGCCACTCTCTTTCTCTGCCTTGGTCCAGGAGCTATGGGAACAGGAGGAAGCAAGTCAAGGACACCATGGTGTCCCAGCCAGGGTGGGACCTGGAAGCTGCCTTTGCAGTATGAGGACGGGATCTGCATCCAGGAGATACCTAGTCTCCCTTGGCCCATGGTGGCTGATGCGTGGATGAATGTTTTGTTAGCTTCCATGAAGGGTGCTATCTGCTTTCCATTCATTTTCAGAGTGTTAAAGAACCATTTTAGAAGCTCAGAGTAAAGCTCAGTGAGTGTAGCTCTTCAGAGGACTTTGGATACCTTTTAATTGGGTTATAGTAGAGCTTATGCTCCTTCTTCCATGTGCTGAGCTCCCTGTTGGCAATGTGATGGTTGGCGCCCAGGCTGAATCTCTGGCTGAGGTTGGGTCTGGTGGGCATTAGCTTTCTGGATTTGGATCTGAGAGGTAGGTTCTCCTTGGCAAGGACCGTGGGAGTGCCACACCTGCTTAAGCACATCGACACACACTCACACCATGTCTCTCTGTGCCAACTGAGTGGGCCTTCTCCTATCCATTCAGGGATAGGACAACAGCAATGCCAGCCAGAGCTGTGGTGACAGGTAGGGCTGGTCTGGATTCTGTTTGGGTGGCCAGGACCTCATTACAATATTTGTTGTTTATTTATTTATTTTTGATGGTTCATGGTCCTAACATTCCATCTTCCATCTGAAACATCAGGAGCACCCCCACACACAGACTGGCCTTGGCTGGTGCTCACATTTGAGAGACTTCAATCCCGAGAGGCTTGCCTCGTCCGATCGTGGCTGCTGTCACATCCACTACTCTCTATCTATTTGTCCCTGTGCTAATGAAATCCTTCTCAGAAGTCCTAAGTCCCTGGTGCTGTTCACTCATTCCCTGTAGTTTAACACAATACATCCCAATCTTTTCATGTCACAGTATACATAGACATGGTACTATTTATATCGACAGGAGGGCTCATTCCTAGGGCAACAGGCCAGTGGGGTGTGGCAAGAACTACAGTTCTTGCCAGCATCACTCTCACCTGGCTTTTCCTGGGCTTGGGGGGTTTGTTGCCCTCTGGCACCCTTGTACTCACCAGGGGTGCACAAGGGTGCTGCAGCAAAGGTTAGAAGCTCTGGCCCAAGACTAGCATAGACCACAATCTCAAGTGCATCAAAGAGTTCCATCCATAAATATCTTTCAAAGTGTACCCAGAGGGTGGAAATTCTTGCCCAGACTTGCATTTGATAGATGTAAGTTGTGTGATCATGTCCATCATTTGGTGCAGTCTGGCACCAACTGTCCTTCTGGGAAAGGGAGGAAGAAGAATTTTACCAACACTACATGTCCCCTGTCCCATCCAGGCTAGCATGACCAGGCTCCTTGGTTCTGTGACCAAATCCTAATTCTTAGTCCTGTTTCTCTCTACACTACCATATTCCAAGGTATTTCACTTGACTTCTACATATTCCTGACCTACCAGCTTTGCTACATCCTCTGCATGGCATAGAAAATCACTTGTTATGCAGTGGTTGGAGGCATCATGGGTGCCCTGTTGGGAGAGTCTACTCATGGTGCCATGATCCACACCTGGATGCCTGGTCTGGGTGGAGGGCAGATATTGCGGAGGACAGTCTAGTCCTCTTTTAACTCATATCCTTTGGACTATGTGGTACCAGGTGGTGCTTCTTACATTTAAACAGGGCTATGGGCTCATCAGTCTATCCATTCATTAATTTACTTGTTTAACTGTTTGAAAACTCTATTCAATAAATGCTGTGTACCAGGAATATAAAGATAAAAGACATTATCCTTGCTTTCTGGAAACTCACAATCCATTGAGGGATACCCTAGAAGTAAACAGTGGTGGTATGCATAATAAATTCCAGGATGGTATCTTGGGAACACAGAAAAGGAGAGATTCTTATCCTTGGAGAGTGGATCAGACAAGGCTCCCTTGCTGAGATGAGATGACTCTTGGATTATGTTTTTTTCATTCTTTTTATTCCTTCTTTTTTTTGTTATTGTTATTTCAACTGAGTTACCTGGGATGTGGATTAATT